GGATCAGAACCAAGGAGACCCGTTCAAACCCAGAAGACCCGTTCAAACCCAGAAGACCCGTTCAAACCCAGAAGACCCGTTCAAACCCAGAAGACCCGTTCAAACCCAAGAGACCCGTTCAAACCCAGAAGACCCGTTCAAACCCAGAAGCTGATCTCTGTCCATCACTCTGACGTTCTTTCTGAGTTCTAAAAGGAACAGAGATTATGTTGATGATGTTCAGTTGTTTTTCTGGTAAACAGGACTGTTCATTTAATCTCTCCTGATGTTCAACGATGATGAGATGATCTCCTAGAGGAACCAGCTTGGATCCAGGAGGTGTCATGGAGCTGAAGAGTGACCAACGTTCAGAACATAGAGCTTAATGAGGACTTTTAAAAAGGAAACTTACAGAACAGAAGGAAAAGTCTGAAACCTGGATGTGATTAATGAAGGAACCAGAGGAGAACAGGAAACCATCCTGAAGAGGGCAGCATGGAGAAGCGCTTAGTCCACCAACAGAAAGGGAGGCCTTGACATCACCCTTCATTTGGATGGGATTAAACTGATTTCAGATAATAAAGTAAAAAATCTTGGTGTTATTTTTGATCAGGACCTGTCATTTAAATCCCAGATCAAAGAGGTTTCTAGAATTTCCTTCTTTCATCTGAGGAATATTGCAAAAATGAGCAATCTCCTGTCCAGGGGTGATGCTGAGAAACTAGTCCATGCATTTGTTACTTCAAGGCTGGACTATTGTAATTCTTTACTATCAGGAAGTCCACAAACTGTAGTTAAAAGCCTTCAGCTGATCCAAAATGCTGCAGCCAGAGTTCTGATGAAAATGAAAAAGAGAGATCATATCTCTCCTATCCTGGCTTCTCTTCATTGGCTTCCTGTTAAATCCAGAATAGAATTTAAAATCCTCCTTCTCACATATAAAGCCTTAAATGGCCAAGCTCCATCTGATATCAGAGATCTGATTGTTCCTTATGTTCCTAACAGAGCACTTCGCTCTCAATCTGCAGGTTTACTAGTGGTTCCTAGAATTTCTAAAAGTAGAATGGGAGGCAGATCTTTTAGTTCTCAGGCTCCTCTCCTGTGGAACCAACTACCAGTTTTAGTCCGTGAGGCAGACACCCTGTCTACTTTTAAGGCTAGGCTTAAAACTTTCCTTTTTGATAAAGCTTCTAGTTAGAGTGGCTCAGGTTATCCTGATCTATCTCTATAGTTCTGCTGCTATAGGCTTAGACTGCTGGAGGACATAGGGACCCCTTTTTCATCATTCTGCTTCATTCTATCTCTATTCTCCCACTCTGCAGAATCTGTTAGTTCAATCTCTAACGTTCTGCTCTCTCTGCTTTTTCTCATAGTAGCTTCATCTGGTCTGTTCCTGTTTGGCTGTGACTCCATCCTGGAGAGAAATATCAGCTGTGCTGCTGCCATCAACACCTTTGTTTCTAGATGTTGGAGCTTGGCCTGTTTTCCAGTGTAGTCCTGTTTCTCTGACTGTGACTAACTGGATGTGCTCTCTTCATCCTCTGACATGGGAGCTGGCTCGGAGCTCGTCTGCCTGGCTGTGTGTTTCCTGGACGGGGCCGCCTGTGGAGCTGGTTGCCTTTTGTATCTATGCTTCTTATTCTATGTCTGCTTCTGTCTCCTTGAACCCCAGTCGGGCTAACGTTAGCCCGTCTGCAGCATCCCTCTCTCTGCATAGCTGTGTGTGACGGATCGCTGGCTCTGATGGAGGTTTGATTGTTTTATTTAGTGAAACCAGGGCTGTCATCTCTCACCCACTGCGTCTCTCTCTGTCTTCTCACGCTCTCACTCCATATCCGCAATTTTTCACGCAAAAAAATGACGGACATTAAAACTCAAATCCATTCCACTTATATACATATACATATATCTATATAGATATATGTATAGATATCATCCATCCATCCATTTAATCTCAGATCCATTTTTTCTGTAGAGATTTTTATTCATCACCTCTTCTATGTGTCACAGGTTACATTTGCTCACATTAAGCTCAGCTTCACTAAACATTGAAGTGCTTTAAATGAGGTTTCCTCCTAACTTCACAGCAACATGTGGAAATCAGCTCAGAGTGAAACAACAACTTCTGCTACAGTTTCTGTCTTCACAGGAAATGAAACCTTCTTATCTGCAGCAGACATCATGTTTTACCGTCAGGGCAAACTGACCTCAGATCAGCTCACCGCTGCTTCGTCGTCTGTACAGCAACAAGAACACATGACATCGCAGAGTGACATCACATTATGACATCAGAATAAATCCTTCATTACCACCGAAATATTAAAGATTATCATCTGGATCAGGAGGAAACATTTCATTCATTAAAGGCAAATTAACTTAATTAGAAATGTTTAAAATATCTAAGATTTTTGATATTTTTAGTGTAAAACTTTGTTTTATGTTGAATTTTTAATTCAACGTTCAGTTTGACTTTCAATTAAAACTATTGTCAGTAAAATCAAATGTAACATTTTCTATAAATAAATAAATACAGATACAATCAGTATATAAATATGAATACATAGGAAATTATATCATCTCTTTAAAGTAGCAACATTTATTCTGAATAGACTTTTAAATCACAAACTATTTCCTTGGATTTTATAATCCTGCTCTGATTAAACCACCTTAATAAAATGAATAAATAAACATTTTACAAACAAACAGCAGACAGATCAACATTATAATATAGTGCTCTTTATAAGACATCAACAACTCTTCAAAAAGAAATTTGATTTGATCAGAAATATTTCAAAGTGAATCTTTCATCTGAGAAATTTCAAAAGTGCAACAATTAAATTAAACCTTTCATTTCATTTATAGTTTTACTTCATTTCAGAAGATATTTCACAGTAACGTCTAATGATAAAATCTGTTTCTGTCTTCCAGCCCAGCAGCTTTTTAATATTCTGATGTTTCATACCTGTTCCACCGGGTCAGGGCCTCCAGTTGGGCCCTGCAGCGCCATCTGCAGGCTGATTGTCACTAAACTTAGATCTCCTTCACTATCATGGCAGCTACAGCTTCTGCAGAGTGGAGACCTGGGACCTACGGCGCCGCTGGTGCAGGGTCTGTATGGCAAGCCAAGAACGCCACTATTCGCATCTAATTATCACGTTAAGACTGAAATTCACCCGCTAAAAGCCCGTTTTCCAAAATTTCGCCACTTTTTTCGCCGTCTTTTACCAACAAGCGCCGCTTTTTGCGTCCGTCATGATGCTACCGCAAGACGCGCAACATGTCCTTCCTTCTTTTCTGACAGCTCATGCATTTGAACTGGTTGCATCCAATCGCTGATCAAGGCAGCCAGAATAAGAAAGTTCAGCACAGATCAGCTTGGTGGAAAACTCTGCAGAGGTCAGTGTGGCAGCGCTGCCAAAGTTCACTGCATCGTTGTTTCACAAAGCCTTCATTTTAGGAATATATCCACTACACGCTCTCTGCTGTTAGTTTGAATCCATTTCCATTATTTTCATGTAAAAAACGTTTTTCACCAACAGGCATCGCTGACTAATGTTTTGTGCCTTAAAGTTATTTATTGGAGCAGTTCACCAGTTTTTGCGACTAAGAACAGTGGACAGAGTGACCGCATGTCATGCAAACTTTTTTATCTTCAATACAGGTTCGAATCCGGCTGATGCAGTTCGACTCTTTCCTTTATATTCTCTCCTGTCTCTAACCAAGCCCGTTTCGTAGTTTTTTAGTTTTAAACATAATCCATAAATGTAGCTACTTAACTGTTGTTTTTGACCCATTCTTTCTTTCATGTAAAAACTTATTACATTGTGCTAATAGAATGACAATAAAGGCGCCACTTGTGTTCCAGAAAATGTATGTCTGACTTGTTGTCTGACTTGTTGTCTGACTTGTTGTCTGACTTGTTTTCTTTGACACGCGTTGTCTGGGTAAGAACGCGTGTGAAGAACGCGCGTTTTGAGCGGTCAATATGTGCGTTAAGAACAAGCGTCTTGCGGTAGCATCATGACGGACATAAAAAGCTTCGCTTGTTGGTAAAAGACGGCGAAAAAAGCGGAGAAATTTCAGAAAAATTGGCTCTTTTAGCGTGTGAATTTCAATCTTAGCGTGATAATTTGATGCTAATAGTGGCGTTCTTGGCTCGCCATACTGGGAGCGCGGTGAGGCTGATGATCTGTTTTTAAACTCTCTCCTCTGATGGTCTCTGCGCTCACGTTGTTAAACTGGATCTAAATGAACCAAAGCCAACCGACCAATCACAGACAGGCATTCCTTTTTCATCCAATCAAAGGAATCCTTACTAATACCAACCGCTGCACCTTCAGGGGCAGCGATACCTGAAGCCAAAGGTAGGAATTTAGAAGACATCAGGCTGGAATAAATGTTTTATATTAATATAACATAATAATGTTTAAATCTGAAATATTCTTTTTATTTTCCTGAGCAACTGAATCCATGTGAACCAGGATTTTTTCCTCCTGTGAGGTAAAACTGATCCTATTGTTTATTATTTTACTGCTGGTGTTTTGACCTTTGACCTTCTTCAGCTAAAGTCTATATCTCTCGATGCGAAGGAAATAATTAAATCCTCCAAATGAGATAAAAACATTGTTTGGATGCATCTCAATGCAGAATATCTAAGGACTCTTCTGATTGGATGAAAGAATTAAAACGGCCTGCCTGTTTTTGATTGGTCAGTTGGTTCATTGAGCGCAGAGACGGAGCGGAGCGAGGAGGAAAGGAGAGACGCAGGAGACGGTGGAGCAGAGACGGACTGAGGAGGAGGTCATGGGTCCGACCGCGCGCTCAGGACAGCGGCAGAAACATGACACCATCGGACTCCCAGGAAGGAGGTCGTCCAGCAGCAGGAGCTCCCAGGTCTCCAGAGAACATCAGTAATGGGAGGGGGGCGGAGCCTCTGGGGTCAGAAGGGCTTCACAGGGAGCTCTGTGGAGGCGATGCTCCGTGTTTTCCTAAGAAGCTGGACTTTGGTTCAGGGAATGGTTTCAGCTTCAGGATTCTGGACCTGAACCGGGTTTGGTTCTGGTTGGGTTTGGTTCTGGTCGGGTTTGGTTCTTCAGAAGAGCAAATAAACCAGGCGACCATGTTGGATTATGATGTCAGAGTTTTTCCTCAGCATCTCAGAACAAACGGTTCCAATCAGATGCAGATCAGAACTTTTTGTCCGGGTCATTTTTCCAAACTTGAAAAGATCAATTGTAGCAAAAAAAATAAAAATAAAAATCAATAATCTATAATCTAAGCTGAACCTTTCATGAACAGAACCTGAGCCAAACAGCTGATGTTCATCATCTTCCTCTATTTTCTGTTGTTCCTCTGCTACAGATGTCAGCCAGCAGGGGGCGCTGCTGCACAGCTTCAGCTCTGGTCTCTAATGAGGAGTTTAGATCCATCATGGAAAAACATCTTCAAACTGAGGATAAAAAGAGTCAGAAGCTGAGGAATTATTTAAGAGGTCAGACCAGACGAAACCGGATCTGATAAATCCTGGAAATGATTTCTCCACATTTAGGTTTTTATCTGATGAACTTTGTTTCATCTGATCAGAGTTCTGGATGGACGTCGGGACCGGGCCCGTTTCAGCTGCAGGTGATTCAGCTGCCAGATGGATGTGATCATCTGGGAGAGGGAAAGATCTGCAACCCTTAACATTAAACTGTCTAAACCCCAAACTGAAGCCAGGGTAACATCCTCTGGATCTGATTATCCCATCCGATGATCCAAAACGTTTTATGTGACATTGATTGATGCAAAACGAGGCAAAAAGTTTTAGAAAGCGTCACTATTTTCCTGAAGCAGAAGGCTGAGCTGCAGCTTGTCCAGCAGATAAGAAACCAGTACTCCCAGTTAAAGAACCGCTTCCTTTTCCAGAGGCTCCGCCCACTAAACCAAAGCCAGCAGATGGGCTTCTGATTGGTTATTTCCTGATGACTACAGGGTTGTGTTTGTTCACATTAAAAGAAATGTATGAGCTCATTTCACCGTTTTCTAAGCAGAAACAGACTTGAAACCAGTTTAAACTGGCTGTGAATCCGGTTTGATGTGCGGCTCGGTCAGCATGAGGTCCAACAGAACCAGAACCAACTGGACAACTTCGCTGACCAACGCCGGAGAGGTCAGAAAGAGTTCTTTCAAAATAAAAGACCATCTGGTTCCAGGAAGCTGTGGGCGGAGCAAGGCGGGTGGGTGGTGTGTGTGTGTGTGTGTGGGAGGGGGCGCTTGTTTTAACGGCGATGTGGGGACTGTTTACAGTCACATCATGGGGACCTATGTCCTTATTAGGTGGGTTAGGCCGTTTAAAGTGAATGTAAGTCAATGACAGGTCCCCATAAGTCATGGAAACACAGCTGTGTGTGTGTGTGTGTGTGTGTGTGTGTGTGTGTGTGTGTATGTGTGTGTGTGTGTGTGGCTCAGCAACAGCAATGAGGCCCGTTTGGACCCGGCGCCTCTCAGACCACGGTGCTGACGGATGGATCCGATAGGTTGAGCTGGCCGGTGATGTCCGTCGGGTACGGCTACAGGCGAGGGACAAAAACAAGGAGAGAGAGAAGAAAAGAAGTTAACTAAACTCTGAGCCGGCCTGAGGTTCTGCCTGAGCTCGCTCACACTGGCTTGGTTCTGATCCAGAACAGCTATCAGCAGTGGGGGGCAGCCAGACATCTCCTGGTTCTACAGAGCTCAAACCGTCCTTTTGGGTCGGGACTGTGGACAGAACCAGGCCCCAATAGGTCTAGGTGTACTGAGCAGTCACAGTTCCTTCTTTCCAGCAAAGGTAGATTCTAATCTATTCTGATCTATGAGGTTTGATTAAAAAACTAAAACACTAATTTAATAAATTCATCACTTTCTAACATTTTTCTATTTCCATCTGTAAATCACTGCAGGAAGTCAGAATACATTTCCTGATGGACCGGGACTCTGTCTCGCTGTCTCCTCTGGAAGGAACCAGGCATCCGAAAGTTCTTCATCTGGGTTCTTACAGCTCGTTTCTGTCGCCCTCTGCTGCTAAAGCATCAGAATGCAGGCGGAAATCTTTAATCCAGACTATGAAACGAGTTCATCCCATTGGCGGCTGGCCAATAGAGGGCGCTAGGACGCCGCCCCACCCACCCCATGACTCTGATTATGACATAAAAAATTTTATTTTAAATATAATTTTATTCCAGATTAAAATTTAAAATATTTTCGAAATGTATTGATACATATTTTTTAGATGTGGAAGATAAATATTTAATCTTTAATGACGAGTAAAGCATCATTTCACTGGTTTAGAAAAGGCAAAGAAGAACGAACAATCTGGGATTTACATGGAAAATAATAGAATATATTCTACTTTTTCTACATGTTTGTTTATTTGCATAGTTGCTCTTAAAGGGGAATTTTATTGTTTTTTTTTCATTGGCTCCTTAATTTTCCGTTATTCCATCATGTTCTACTCACCCATATGAGTTTAGTGTCATTTGGAGCCGTTCTGAAGATATTCCGTTAGGTTATATCCAGTAACGTCTTCCTATGGGCAACGACTTGAAGGCAGAAACTAAACTGTTCATAACTTAGTTGATTGGTTTTTGGTGTACGTGTTGACCGTATAGCCTCACCGGCCGCCGATGGTTCATCCACTCATTTCATAGTTTGAACAGAGTCCAGATCTCTCTGCTCCTCTGAGGAAATCAGAGTGAAGCTATGCAGCAGAGAAGATACTCTGGTTTAGATCTGTAGCTTCTGAAATCCTCAGATTTTATAGATCCTCTGAGTTCTGAAAGAGCAGCCTGACCTTACAGTAGCAGTAGGGGGCGCTGTGTCCACCTGATAAAGATATAATGAGGCGGTCTGCTGCTGTGGTTTAGCTCCACAGCTCAGCTGTTCCAGCTCATGAATTAAACACAATCTTCAATCATCTCATCTGGTCTGAGGTTCTGCTCCACCACAGGGAACATTAAACTTTCATCTGCAGAGCAGAGCAAGGCAGCAGCCCTCAGCCTCTCAGCTGCTGGTTCAACTCCCACTTTGCGTGTTTTTGCTCAGAGGTAACGAGGCTCTGAGCACACGCAGCTGAACCAGGATCTCTGATGTTCCTTCCTTCTTGGAACTTCAGTTTTCCTTCATTTTAGTTCAACTTGCTGAAAAGGTTTCAACATGTTTGGGGAAATCTCAGATTGGGAACTTTTGGATGTTCTGCTGGTTCCTTCAGACCCGCCCTCTGGGGGGCGCTGCAGCAGATGTTAGGGTTTTAAACATCTTTATCTCCTCTGGTGCTCCAGCCATCAGCATCTCCTCCTTGAAGCCTTTGCTCCATCCTGGCAGCTCCGCATACATACTCCTGTCCAACATGTCTGTCTCAGACTCCTAACCAGAGGTATCATCGGTCGCTCCCTCTGAGCTCTCGACTTGCTCCACGCCCCATCCGGCCCAGAAGCTCCCATCACGGCTGTGGGAATGTTCCACAGACTAAGGTCAGCTGATCCTGGACAGCCTAGATGAGACGCCCTTTGACCTTGGACTGGACCCTTCGTCTCCCTGCTATCTGCTCATATTCACCAGGCTCCTCTTGATACGTTTTGGAATCGAGATCTTGCAGGTCTAAAGTGCTAGCATGCTAACATTAGCCTCTCAGAGCATGCTGCTGACTCACATCTTCTGAAGCGTCATGGTGACTCACTAACAGCCATGACTTTCTGCAGCATAAATATTCCCTATCATCTGCTGGTGAAGATCCTCAGTCATCCAGGTCAGTCGTTCTAATAAAGGTTTAAAATCAATCCTGTGGACTTTGTTTCCAAGTTTGAAGACGTTTCTCTTCCATCCAGGAAGATTTTTCAATTCAAAATGTCAGAAATAGCGTTTAGTTCCAGGTTTTATCCAGCAGCCCAACAAAGCCTGGTTTTAGTTTAGAAAACATGCAAATAGAAACGGATGAACGGGTCCCCCCCTTTGGAATGGGGGTCGTTTGGCTTCTTTGTTAGCCTGCAATGCCCCATACCTGTCTATGTCTCTGAAAGGGGGGTCGTTAGAGGGAATAGTTGGCCTGGATGAACAGGCGATGTCCTCTTTTCCTCTGTAATGGGGTAACGACTATAGCAGGAAGAAATCGACACAAAAAAAGTTGATTCCTTCCCACTCTCATTTCAACCCCTTTACAGGAGAACCGAAGTCCTCACCTATTCAGCCAGGCCAACCATTCCCTCTAATGACCCCCCTTTCAGAGACATAGACAGGTATGGGGCATTGCAGGCTAACAAAGAAGCCAATCGACCCCCATTCCAAAGGGGGGGACCCGTTCATCCGTTTTTATTTGCATGTTTTCATGCAAATTTTTTATTGAAAAATCTTCCTGGATGAGAAGCGAAATGTCTTCAAACTTGGAAACCAAGTCCAGTGGAATGATTTTAACTTCATAGCTGGCAGCAATGCATCAGCGTTAGCTTCTGGTTTATACTTTCTAAGGTCTTTTTACCGTCTGGATTCCATCCCTTAGAAACTGCAGGGTCTCCATTCTGACCTCCTCTACCAACCGCTCCATCAGAAGCAGCTTAGAGCTGATTCCTGACGTAGCCCCACCTCTCCACCGTCCCTGCACACCTCCTGCTCCGTCTGCCGCCCTGACATCCTCTTCCTCACAACCCTGAATGTTTCAGGAGTTTCCCTTCCTCCACAGACCTCACAGCTGCTGAGGGAAGCATGCAGACATCGGACTGGAGCAGAGAAAAATCTAAAGCATGAGAACAGCAGGAGCGGAGACCCTGTGATGCAGCGGCTGCTCTACAGGTTCAACCAGGTGCAGGATTCATGTTGGAGATGTTTAGGGGGACCTGGAATCTACCCCGGTTCTCCTTCCTGGTTCCACCTCTGAAGGACATCAGAGGAGGATCCTGAACATCAGGGACTCAGGAAGCCTGTTTCTGCTTCTCTACCACTGCTGATGAAGCTGTTCGCTCTAACCTGGAGTCCCTGTGTGTGTGTGTGTCAGCCGTGCTTGCAGAGGAGGACAGAGGCAGTGTGTGTGTAGCACAGCATAGAGTCTGGACACCATTTAAATCCACCCAGAGAGAGAAAAACACTAATATAGGAAGTAAAGAGAGACGATCACAGTGAGAAACGAGTCCGAGTCCCACAACTCACCGGCCAACCCGCGGCCAAAGACCCCCCCATGAAGACAGAAACACGGGGAGATCAGAGAGAAAACAGGAGCAGAGAACAGAGTTCAGATTATCTCTGAGATCTGAATCTGGGAAGAAGTCAGAGAGCAGGAGAGATCAGGAACTCCTGGTCTGTCCTGGAGACAGCCAGAGACGCTGCAACAGAGGAGCATTAGAGGACGCAAACAAGTGTCCACTGGCCGACCTGAGAGGACAAGATGTTGGCCGTTAGTGGAGAAGACAGGCTGAGGACAGGACAGGACAGGACAGACGAGACGGACAAACACTGACGACCACACAGGCTGACCCTCTTCCCTTCTCCTTTGCAAGAGGACGATGTGATCAGTGTGGGACTAAGACTGGAACCTGAACTTCCTGCAGGCGTCTGTCTGACTGGGGGATGGATGGAGGATGGATGGATGATGGATGGAGGATGGATGAGAGGATGGATGGAGGATGGATGAGAGGATGGATGGAGGATGGATGGATGGATGGATGAAGGACAGGCGTGCAGCAGGAAGCTGAAGGAGCAGCTGATGGGAGGACAGAGCTGAGGTGATGTGACTGATGAGACGGATCAGGAATGTCAGAGAGAGAAGAAGCAGGCAGCAAACCATAAAAATAAAAAAAAAGCATAAGAGGACAGTTGGGAGAAGGACAGATGGTCTTCATGTCCTTACCGTGGGGTCCCCGGGGGCCAAACGGCGTTTGAGGTCGGAGGTCGAAGTGATGGACCTAAAAGAGGTTTGGGGCTCGGGCTCTGCTCTACCACTTTTCCTATCCTACAATAGATCATACGATAGGTGCACACACACATTAACAGGCAGCAGACACTGAAGCACACACTCACGCCTGCAGGGGGCGACACTGACTCTGAATGTGTGTGACGGAAAGTAGCGGAGCGGCTGGCTGCAGGAGGGCGCTAACAGCGCTAACAGACCAGGGACTCAAGCCGAGGGTGGACATAAAAGGAGGCGGAGTTTTTGGAGGTAGAGGCCTGAACTTCCTCCTCTTGCAGAACGAGGAAAGATCTCAGCAGTTAAACCTGGAACCTAGAAACCGATTCGCTTTGAGAATGTCCTGACCTGATCCAGCAGATGGTTCTACCTGCCGGTGCCCTGTGACTGGAATCCCAGGTAACCCTCTGTTACTGTTCGGGGAAATCTCCCAGATCATCAGACAAATATCAGACAAAGAAGACTTGGAACAGCCTGGATGAAAATGCTCCTCAGCTTGGGGTCACTAACCTTTGGTTCCATCAGACTCAGTGGTTTGGGTCCTGAAACAGCCCACAGCCTCACTCTCTCACCACCATGCGGCTGCAGGTTCTGCTCCAGATGGAACTGGACTAACCCCTTCCATCAGGTCCATCAGGTCCATTCAGTAGCCGACTGGACGGCTGACCTCTGACCTCAGAGGATATCCTGGTTCTGCTGGGAAGGTTCTCTGCTGTTCCATGTGTTCTCCATGTGTGGACCATGGTTCTCCTGTGGCTCTTTCTGATCTAACCCCCCTAGATGCTGTCTGACTGATTCTGTTCTCCTGTCAGGTTAAGCTGGGGGGGTCCATGGGGGGGGGGGGTCTCCATGTGTTCAGCTCAGAATCCTGACCCTTTTATTGCAACAGAACCGCTTCTGCAGCCCAAACAAATTCTTCTCCTTCTGGGTTCTGGAATTAGGATGACCCGACCCGATCTGGCCCGAACTGACCTGACCTGACCCGATCTGGCCCGAACCAACATGACCCGACCCGATCTGGCCCGAACTGACCTGACCTGACCCGATCTGGCCCGAACTGACCTGACCTGACCCGATCTGGCCCGAACCGACCTGACCAAACCTGATCCTCCCTGATGCAATCCAGTCCAACNCTAACCTACCGGACCCGAACCAATCTGGCCGAAACTGACCTGATCTGGGCCAAACTGACCTGACCCAACCCAATCTGGTCCGAACCAACCTGATCTGGCCCGAACCCACATGACCCAACAAAATCCTCCCTGATGCAATTCAGTCCAACCTGAAACAACCGGACCAGACCCGATCTGGCCCGAACCCACCTGACTCAACAAAATCCTAAATCGCCTAAAGCAGGCATCCCCAAACTCGGTCCTCGAGGCCCCCTGTACTGCAGGTTTTAGAGGTTTCCTTGCTCCAGCAGCTGATTTTAATTGAAAGCTGATTAACAGGCTTTTGGTCTACTGCAATCATTATAACCAGCTGTGCTGAAGCAGGGAAACCTCTAAAACCTGCAGGACAGGGGGCCTTGAGGACCGAGTTTGGGGATGCCTGGCCTAAAGCAAACTAAATCATTCATCAATCCAGATCTAGTTTAATCTGATTAGAAACACCTGCAGGGTTTAGAGAGCAGAACCAAAAAGCTGCGGTAGAACTGTGAGGAGCGAAGCTACAGAAGAACATCACTTCCTGTGGAAATTCTTTAATTCATCACATAAAACTTCAGGAGGAGAAACAGGAAATCAATCTTTGAATGTTTCAGTGTGTGAATGTTAGACAGACAGAAACACAGTGCAGCAGGTAAACAACAACAACCTGAAGGTCAGACACAGGAAGACAACAGGAAACAGAAGGAGCGGTTCCTGTGGGGGAGGAGGGCCAGTAAAGATGGAGCATGTGATGATGTCACATCGGATCATTATACTAACGTCTGGGGGGGTCAGCTGATGGTCACATGGTGTCTGACCTCATCATCATGTCTTTGAACTTTAACCCTTTGCTCAGCTGTCTGTTCCTGATGGTCAGCGAACGCCATGAGCAACAAGACGGGACCAGTTCTGCAGAAACGACTCAGGGCTGCCGTACATCTGCAGAAGGAACCATTCTACGGAGAACTTTGAACCCGAGCTAACAGAGACCAGATGAGTTCCTCAGGGCCTCTGCCTACCGACCATGACGGACTGTTGGACTTCTCCGTGTCACCAGCCGCTCAGGAGAGACCAATTCAGACACGGTCAGGAATCCCTCCAAGGACCAAAGGCAACCGTTTCAGGCCAGCGCAGAAATCAGCGAACTAGAGAATACCTCCGCGTCCCCAGGGGCCTGAATGTTCACGCAGAGCTTGTTGATGAATGACCCCAAACCGCCCGGACAACCAGGAAGGCTCTGGTCGTCTCTACACGCCTGTTCTTCAGGACAGGACACTAGATTCGGATTTGGTTCCGTCGCCTCAGATTACAGGAACATGATCAGACATGACTTCCAGCCGGACCTGGTTCTGGTTCTGATCCATCAACTGTAAACACATTCAGAACAAAACGATGAATTCCAATGTTTAAAAGCACAGAAACAATGAGGGAGTGGGTGTAGCAGAGTACACCCCACCATCATGGAGGGATCACTGGAAGACTTGGACCAGAGCACCAGACAGAATGGTGCAGGATGGACCTGCAGACCACAGAACCATCCTCCACTGAGGATGGAGTCTCTTCTTCGTTGGTTTTGCTGCTAATCTAAACACAGAAAGGCCTCCAGGCCGAGACTTTCACCAGAACCTGGACAAGCGTCTCCAACCCTTGGAACATCAATAACTCGTGTTCTGCTAGATTAAACTGTTCATTCCTGAATCCACTCCGTCGTTCTGAAGACAACCACCTGCTTCTCTTCAGAGAACCTTCTGCTGTGATGACCTAGGCGCTGATGTCTGCTCTGATGACTCATTTCACACTCCCGCTTAGCTACGCCCAGTTCTCATTACCTGCTTATCTGGTCCACCAGACGTATTCTCTGTTTAACCAGCCTTCAAACCAGTCATCAGTGCCAGGTGTTTGTGTTCTGATTACCTGATCCTGATCCATTCTGCTACTCGACCTCTGAGCCTGCCTGGTCCTGTCTGATCTGTTTGTCTGATCTGTCTTCTGACTCCTGCCTGTTTTTTAATTGGGGGCCTTTCCGGGATGAACCCCCCCAAAAAATGACAGTTTATACAGAAAAATATAAAGTTTTTGACTTTTTTAGTATAAAAACTGTTAAAAAGGGGGTGGTGGCCTAGTGGTTAGGGCATAGCGCTTGGAATCCGGAGGTTCTTAGTTCAAGCCCCACTCCCACAGACTGCAGCTCTGGGTATCTGAGCAAGACCCTTAACTAGTGTTGCACGGATGCCATTTTTGGCCCCGATACCTGGCTGTGCAGTATCGGCCGATACGATACTATCTGTTTGATGTGTGTGTGTATATATGAAGAACTGCAGACTACTTGGATGTAAAATAATCCCCATCATGGCTTCATGTCAAGCTGCTGCCTTCCTTTGTGAAGCAGGAAAAAGACTAAAACTAAGTGAATCCAGTAGAACTTTTTATTGCCTACCTGGAATGGGTGACAATAGTTGAAGAAACTTTTGGCTCTCAAAATGGTATCAGTGCCCTATTGGTTGGTACTCGCTGAAACCGGTATCACCATTTTAGTGCTGGATCAGGGCCCCGCCCGATACTGGTATCGGTATGGGTGCAACACTACCCTTACCCCACACTGCTCCCTGGACGCTGTGCAATAGCAGCCCACTGCTCCCCAGGGGGATGGGTTAAATGCAGAGATTTCATTTTATTTCGATCTCTGCCTGCTTGTGCACCGACGGAGGATTTCCCAAAAACTGAGCCTGCGTTTCCTCGCCCAGCCTGTCAGCCCTGTTGTTTACGGAACCTGGAACTGCGACCAGATTCTGTCCTGGATTGTCCTCCTACGCCTCACTGGATCTCTGACCTCCTGGCTCTGACAACAAACATCGGCTTGGCCCGTATCCTGTCTACATTCGTCTGCTTGGTTCTGATCTCCTGCCTGTCCTCAGACCTCCAACACCTCAGCGTCTGGGACCCTCTTAGTGGCGACTGCTACGCCGCATTGGCAGCCGAGGCTGGAACTATCCTCCACTTCTGGATTCGGACTGAACTATAAAACCAGAGGTTCCTGCCTTAGACGCCTTTTATGTTTTCTCCATCCAGCTGACCCAGTTCATCCCACCACACTGACCCTCTCTGCTTCACTCATGCCCCACCTCCAAGCTCCACC